CTAAAAATAATCTTTGTGATTAAGTTCAGCAACTTCTTAGCCATTTAATTACTCAACTTTTCTCTTTGTGTATTACCTGTTGCAAATTGGAACTTCTTTCGACCACATGCACTTGCTAACTGGATTTTGATGATGTTGTGTTCATGTGGAGGAGCGTGCCCTGCACACGGTGCAAAGTTCCAAGTCTCGCAGACAGCTTTGCGCTGACGTCAGCTCGATGCAAAATGTGTGAAATGATACTTCGACTTGTCATCGGATACCTTGCAAAGCGCTCTGAAACTGCAATTTTGTGTAACCAATCGCAAACATTTCAAAACAGAAGTTTCTGTGGCTATTTTCAAAGAATGCAATCGCGTTTAAAGCTAAGCACACTCAGCGGAGGCGGGTCTAAGGTTGGCGGGGGAAAATGCGAGAAAATGGGAAAATTAAAAGCATGTAATGTGACAGAAGACAATGAACAAAAACTGTTGGCAACATAATGAGACGAACCACAATTTAAAGAAGGTACAGTGAATGCTCTTTAGAGCGAACAAGAGGCAGAAGTAGGTATAGTGAGAGCTCTCTTGAGCAAACAGGCTGTAATAGGCACAGTGAATGCTCTCTAGAGCGAACAAGAGGCAGAAGTAGGTATAGTGAGAGCTCTCTAGAGCGAACAACAGTCTATACTAGGTACAGTGAATACTTTCCAAAGCGAACAACAGGCTGTAGAAAGTACAGTGAGAGCTCTCTAAAGCAAGTCACAGACTAACAAATGTACAGTAAAATCTTTCTAGACCAAACAACAGTCTGAACTAGGTACAGTGAATGCTCTCTAGAGCGAAGAACAGTCTGAACTAGGTACAGTGACAACTCTCTTGAGCGAACAGGCTGTACTAAGTACAGTGGGAGCTCTTTTTAGTGAACAACAGTCTAAACTAGGTACAGTAAAAGCTGTAAATTTCTATATGTATCATAACCCTGTACTCCCCTTCTCTCTCTGCCAAAGGAGCCGTCCGTTAGTAGAGGCTTTACTGTAGCTTGGCAGCTTTGCAAGTGCTCCAGCTGCCCTCTCACTGTGGCGTATGTCGCCCTGATGCTGATGACATTCTTGTTGTTTGTTAATGGAAATCTTGTCTAGCTGCTGGGGCGTGTTCTTTGCCCCGCCCACACGCCGCACGCCACACCCCCCCTCCATGCATTATCCATAAAGTATACACGACAGTTGTTCGTGATTAATGCTTAATCAGGTAAACAGAAAGTAAACAAGGGCGTGTGCGTTGTGCAAGAACTCGCTTCAACTGAGTTTGCGACTCTTGAACGCATCAACTAGGTGTGTTATGGGCAAATAAGTGAGTTGTTACTTGTATTATCAGCGAAAGGTGTTTGGGGCCACGTGCTAATGAGTTATTGTTGCAATTTGCCCGTTGCAGTTGCACTTAGTTGCAGTGCATTGCACCTTATCGCGTTCAATGTCAGTTGGGAATGCAATTTGGGAAAGTAAAAAAAAAAAAGGAATGTAGGAAGTCAGAAAAGTTACTAAAAGAATATATATACTTAATAATATAGTAATGAGCTAAATATTTAAGGGATTCTTTGCTGAAAATCGGAGTAAATTCTTTTGGAAAGTTTCACATATTGTAATAATAAATATAGGAAATTAGAATAAATTGCAGAAAGTCAGCAAAGTTAGTTACTAAATCAATCTATTATATTTAAAAGATTGTTTGCTTCGGGAAAAACAAATATTATAAATCAATATCAATTTTTGTCTGGCAAAATAGGGCTTCGAGAAGGGCAAACTCCGAGCAACTCTTAAAAAAAAAAACAATGAACATATTGAAAAAATAAAACAACAAAAAGCCGAACAATTGGCAAGATTAAAAGGCATGAGTAAGCGCTTAAACATATGTTTACAGGCAGCTTTATATATATAACAATAGTATATTTTATAATATATATTATATAGTAATAATAATAAACAATAAATTGTATACATATGCAGCATTCAATGAGAAGCGGCCAATATACATATATTTAAATATATTTCTGCCTCTAAAGGTGTTCGTATTCAGGTGTATTGCATGAGGCGAATGTTAAAAAAAACAAAACAGGTTTTGCTGCTCATTGAAAATATTTTAAAATGCTGACGTCACAGACACAAAACCATCTCTCTCGCTATCTCCCTCTAGCTATATACAAGTGCGTATCTGCCTGAGAACATTTTGAACATTTTGCGGGAAAGCACGAATCTTCCAATTGTCTAAATCAGCGAATGTAAACACATGAACATGCACAGCAGCAAGTGCGAATGTACACATACATATACATACACATGTATATAGAGCTCAGCTACATATATGCATGCACATTTGTATGTGCATATGTCGGCATTTCTCATATTTAAACAGTTGCGAATGTGCTAAAACTTCGACGAGCGACTGCAAAGCGAAGCAAATTGCCAGTAAATGGAAAATGTGAGAATAAATCTAACACATACCACGGACTACGTACAGACATTGCCCGTATAATTTAAACTAAGCCTTGTTGTTGTAGCCTAACAAAAGGCAGCTGTTAATAATTCTAAGAGTAAAGCCCACCCCTCCCGCCCAGTGCTCTGTGCATGCACAGACATGCATGCATACACATGTGCATGTACATGCATGCATATATGTGCACACATGCATGCATATATGTGCACACATGCATACATGCATCTGTATGTGCGTATTTAATATTTGCAGGCTTGATTAAAATGAGCCAACAAATGGCAAAGGCATACAGAGTGCTCGACTACGACATACCCTGTATGAAGTTGTGAGCTCTTGTAATAATCATTCCAACTTCCGTCTTATGTAAATATACTTAAACATACTTACACAAACACCTACACACACACATGCAGTCATTGATTATTTTTATACAGACGAACGGACATGAACGACTCGGCATGTTGATGCTGATCTTGAATATGCATATACCCTTTGAGGTAGGAAGTGCCACCTTCTGCATGTTACATAAACACGCACAAACCAATATAACCTTCTTTTGCAGCCATTTGCAATGAGCACAGGATATATTATTATTAATAATATTAATAATGTTGCCTTCCACATGGCAGATGCTGCAGCTCTGCCAGACAGTCAGTCAGCCAGTTGTCAATTGAGTTTATGCACAGTTATTTGTTCACACATAAAGAGCTGCCGCTGTTGCTAATGCGAGACAGATGATGCTCTTATATGCGGGCTTATGGGCAGGGGCAGGGGAAGGCAGGGGAGGCAGCCTTACAGAGAAGGAAAGTCGCAATTTTGAACAGCGCTTCGCCAAAACAAGATATTTGCATCTTTGAGCTGCTTTCTACGCTGTCGCATTGAGTGGGCGCGGAGAGCAAAGAACAGGGCGAAGGAAAGAGTATGAAAAAAAAAGCGTAAAAGCGAAAGACGAAAATCAAGCCCATAAACAGGTTTTAAACTGTCTTTATACAGCGCACGACGCTCAAAATAAGAACGTTAATTGACACGCACACAAGCACAGACGAGCCATAAACAAAAACAGACGCACACGCACACACACACACATATTGAGTGGCAATGTACTCGAAAGCGCAAAGCTAACTGGAACTTTCGTAAAGCAACAACAACAACAACAACAACAGCAGCAGCAGCAGGCACAAAGCACTATTACGAAAACAAAGCAACGCATTTTGCGCTGTTTGCTATTTTTGGCCAACTAAAAGTAGCAAATTCCACAAAATATTACCTTTAGTTTTCCAGTTAATGTATTCTTGAATTGTTCTCACTTAAAATAACTTGGTTGGCTGCACTCAATTTACACTCGAACTACTGCGTTTGGTTTCTATTGCTTTGCATTTATTTTAATTTTTCTTTTTAAGCACTTTGCACTCAAACTCGTTTTGGCACCAAATTTTACGGGGAATACACATATACACTAGTTAACACTTTAAAAACTTAAATAACCGTAACGCTTAACGAATTAAAAGTCAATTAATTATGCTGCAATTGCTGGTACGCAGCAATATTTATATTTTGTTGCTAAACTATGCAAGACACGCCGTACCGCTTCCCAATCCTCTTTGAGCACAACTGTTGGTTAACAGCGTGGTAATATTGTGAGGGAGGGTTAGCATATTATTTGAGCAACAACAGCCACTTAACAGTTCAGTTGAGCATAGCAGAAAAATACCAAAAACAGCGCTGTTAACAATACTATCGACAATTTTAAACACCGCATATGCAAGTCTACAATTAACAACTAGTACAGTGTCTGGGCATCCGAAAATTGGGGTAGAGAGTGAAGATTAATGGGACTACATTTTGTTTTGTGTTAACTTGCAAGTATATAACTGTGAAAAGTACAAACATAAGCAGTATGCTTACAAACAGAAACACCGCCTGCTAACAGAATGGTAACTTAACGAAAATTTACTGTTAACGAATGCTCCTCCGTTTAACAGTGGCTTTATAACGTAAAATCAACTTAACAGCACTAGTACTGCCAAATCTTATAACAAAACCTAAACGACGCACAATTGGCACTGCTAAACCAAAGTTTTCAGTCGGTCAACAGCTGACAGTATAAATTATTGTCTGGGTGTATTTTATGCTTTTGTCAACTTCTAATTTGATTGTGAATACCCTAAATGTTATATTGCTTTTAACGAAAGTTGCTATGTTAACAAAAAAAGAAAACATCGCCAACTAACAGAATGCTCCTCACTTTAACGAACTTAACGAAGTATGCGGACTTAAGCAAAATAACTCCTCTTTTTAACAGAAGCTCCACCAAAAACTCACCTCAATATAAATTGTGCTGCCAGTGTCTTCGACAGTTGCGCTCAGGTATTGTTGCAAAAGCTAAATGCTACACAACTGGCAACTTCAAGACTTTCCAAAAAGTGCGGGCTTTTTAAATTTGAATTTCAGGCTGACGACGATTTTTATGATGTATTTTTAACATTCGAAATCGACGATTAGATTATTAGATGTTCCTCGTTTTGTTACATTTTTACACTTTATTGAATGTTTATTTATATAATTATTGTTTTATTATTGCTTTGCATATTGTTATCAAGCATTTCCGTTAGAATTTAAGCAAACAACAAAAAAAAAAACTGTCTCTCAAATATGGCAGCATTCCAATACTCTTTCTGTATCTTTTTTCGTATATATGTATATATCTCTCTCTCTTTATGATTAAGAACATACAAACTAGCAAGCAGCTTGCAGCAGGTACGTTGAGGCCTTGTTAATAAACCGTTTAAGACTATTATCTAGTTATTTAAGTTATAGACATGCGCCAGGTTTTTCATTTTCATTTTCTTTTTTGTTTGTTTTGTTTTAATGTTGTGCGTACGAGGGCGCTGGCTAATAAGTATTTGTGCCAAGTGCCATCTCTAGCACCATATCGATTAGTTATCGATCGATAAAGCGGTGCCTGGCAAATTTAACAGCTGGTTGTAAAGCGCAGCTCTTATCCTATTCAACTACTTATCGGTCGGCCCTCGCTTCAGTAATTAGTTGTATGTGTTTGCCATAGATATTCCAAGATATTCCCCTCTCCTTGCCTCCTCAGTAGCGCTGACTCTCGCGATCCGAGTACTTGCCGCTCAGCTTGCTGACCGAGTAGCGATCCGAGTAGGCATCATATTTGTCCGCCTTGTAGTTGATCTCCTGCGGCGTATAACCAATATTCTTTTGCCAGTGTCGCGTCCAGTAAAGATCCTCGTTGCGCACCTGCGATGGGGTCTTTGCGTCCCGGCACACGTACACGCAGTAGATCATGCAGCCGATCAGCGTGAGAAAGCCAAAGATGAGGAATATGATGCCCAATATCCTGCAAGAGATAGACACACACATCACAATATATGTCCAATTGTGGCATCTATGAAGACTTACCAGACATAGACGGGCTCATAGAACTGCACCACAATAACGAAGCCGAGGGTGACCAGTATGAGCCCGAGATTGAGCAGCAGCATCAGACAGCAGACGCCCTTGACATTCGGGCAGAACGGATTTGGCGCCGACATCGTCTCGATCTTGGCGCCACGTTTCGTTGTGGAGCGGCCGCTGCGGCCCGTCTTTGCCGTGCTGGCCACCGAGTAGACGCTGCGTGGTGCTCCGCGCGACACCGGACGCTGGCTGTACCGGCTGCAAGGATTCGACTCCAAAACATTAGAAGCTTTACAGGTTCCTCTCCTCTAGCCCGACTAGAAGCTAACCTCAGCTAGCCTAATAACAGGACTGCAAATCCAAAAAAAGGCTGGAACTAACTCCCTACTGCTTGGTTCGGTTTGTGTAGTCGGGCTTCCACATCCAAGAATTCTGGTTTTAAGTTAAAGCTTAATCTCCAAATATAATCAATTGGTGATCAATCAGTCGTCCTATGTGTTGAAGCTGCACGTTAAGACGGGATTTCGTTTAAATTCCACCCGCATGGGTGGAAAAATCGTGGAAAACGTTTGTGTAAAACTTTTTTGTTTAACCTTCGATCGGTCTCAAACTCATTTTCAAAGATCCTTGTTCAAATTCAATTTGGAAAATCCATTTCTCATTATTTTTACAGCTCCACAAAAGAACCAGATGAATGCGTAATTTGGCGATTCGGCAAATTCCACCCGCAACAGCGGTAAATGGGCGGAAAACTCTTGTAGGAAAGTTTTCTATTTACTATCCGATCGGTTTGAAACTCATTTTCAAGGATCATTGAAAGAATTTATGCTATGCGTGCCGGGCATATCCACAAGTTTGTCAATTTTTGAAAATTCGATGCGATTCAATTGGGTTTTTGGGTTTTTTTAGGGTCGTTTTCCTTTTTCGTCGTTTTTCCTTTCCTGACAATCTTGTCTTCAACTCGCAAGCTTAATCTTGCTCTTTCTTCTGCTCGAAATTTATACAAATTACATTCTTCAATAACTTCTGTGCTATCCTAATATTATTTTCAGCTAGCTCATATACCTCGTAGCAGCTCCGAGATAAACCAAAAGAAACCTAGGCTAAGCATCGATACCTATCGAATTTGGGAAAGGGGAGCGAAAGGGAGATAGACGGACGGAAGGGACCAGGTCGACTGTGGCAGCTAAACAGGAATATAGAATTGAATTTATGGGCTTTGGGACTCACCTGATCTCGGAGGGCGCCTTGTAGGCGGCGCTGGTCACATAGATATCGCTGCCCGCATCGCCGGCCTGATCGTAGCTCAGGGCGGAGGGGGCGCGCGGCGGCTGGCGCGTGGGCGGCGGTCCGCTCAGCGAGCGTGGTCCGCCGTTGTCCGGCGTGCTGGACAGGCCCATCTGGCTGTGGCTATAGCCGTGCTGCAGGTGTTGCTGTCCGTTCGTGCTGCGCGCCTTGCGCGATGAATTGTAATGACCCTGCGACTGCGACTGCGGCGAGATGCGCTCGTGGGCCAGCGTGTACTCCGAGTGCGCCCGATGCGAATGCGAGTCGTCGCCGTCCGTCGAATAGCCGCGATTCGAGTGCACATACGGCGGATCGGGCGTCAGCCGGCCATGTGTGGCCACATAATGCCCGCCCTTCAGTCTGTCGAGAGGTTAACAAATTATTCAAATATTCAGCATGTTTTGTTGTTGTTGTTTTTTTTTTGTTTCTCTCGATCCCTGCGCTACATGTCTGTTCTCTTACTCTCCCTCTCTCTATCATCAGCCCTTTCTCTCTCTATCTGTCTCTCTTTTACCTTTCTCTCTATCACCTTCCTTTTATGTAGATATACCTTCCCATCTCTTAGCTCCCTTCCTTTACCTGTAATCTCTCTCTCTCTCTCTCTCTCTATCTTTCTCTCTGACTCCAACACCTACATTTTATATACATATCTTTTTCTATACCTTCCTCTCATTTTGATATTATAAGCTCTGTCTCTCTCTTACTCTCTCTCTCTCTCTCTCTTACTCTCTCTCTCTCTCTTACTCTTTCCCTGTTATCTCTGGCAGTCACTTTCTTTTTCTAAATGATTCTAGCAATTATTTTCATTAACTCTCTCTATATATATATCTCTCTATCTCTCTCTATCTCTCTCTATCTCTCTCTACCTCTCCTTCTTCATCTCTCTCTCTCTCTCTCTCTCTGTCTCTCTCTCTCTCTCTCTCTCTCTCTTTCATTTACCCTAGCTGATGCCTCTATCTCTCTCTCTCTCTCTCATTCCCTTACTTTATCTGATACCTCTATCTATATCTCTCTCTCTCCTTCTTCTTGCCTTCGTAGTCTCTACTTTCCTTATCTATCCATTTTTGCTCATTAGTTCTCTCTCTCTCTCTCTATTATTAGCTTTCTCTCTCTACCTTTCCCTCTCTCACCTACTGACTGACAGTTACTTCTATTCTAGCATGCATACTTTATAGGGTATTTAATCTTCGACATCTCGGATGAGCTAATAGTTATTTCTTTGTTGTTCTTACTTCTTGACGCGTCTCTCGTGCATTTTGCTAGAACTGCGCTCTGCTCTGCCTGGCGCTTTGTCTGCTGCTTGGCTCTGTCTACGTCCACGTCTCCGTCTCCGTCTCCGACTTCGGCTCTGGCTCTGACTTTGGCTCCGGCTGCTGCTGTTCTGTGGGTCTGTTCAGTTTTGGGTATCTGTGTGGACCGTTGTTGTCTCTAGAAAGTCCCACGATAGCTGCGGCTGCCTGCAAAACAATAAAAAAAACAAACAAGCAAAAAAACACGTTGAGATTTGTTGCAATTAACTGGCGTTTGGCTGGGTGCAAATTAGTAGCCAGTTTTCAACTTTTAATTAGTGTGCAAAAGTTATGACTGCGTTTTATGCTCATGTGTGTGTGTGCGAGTGTGTGTGCGAGTGTGTGTATGCGAGTGTGTGTGTTTTGCCAAACTACATTTAACAAGCGTTAGCAGGAATTCTGAATTCAATTTGGGCAGCTGAGCAACTCAAAAGATAACAAAATTCGAGGTTATGTTTCACAATCAGCTGTGCGAGGCAAAAGTTTGCCAAATTTGAGGTTATGTCTAACAAACAGCTGTGCAAGTTTGAGGTTACGTTTCACATGGTAGCTTTAAAATTCGTTATTCAATAATTCTTCAAATAAATATAGCTCAAAGAGCAACAACAAGATTATAAAAGAAGGAGTGGATGAAAAACCAGAACCTCCTTCTTTTCAAACCAGATGAAGCGCGAACTTTAGCAAAGGTATTTACATGATTTGTTATACTTTATGAGCAGCTACATGTCAAATTTGAAGACTCTAGATCATAAGCCTTAAAGATATATGCCTAAAAAGGCGGCTTTTGATATCGATTCCTATCAATTGGAAACGGGTCGCAAATAAACTCTTACTGCGCGGGTTTTCAATGTTCCAAGTGCCAAGTTCGTATAAATAAAATAACATAAGAAGTGTCACTTATGTGAACTTCTAAAGTTCTCTAGAAGTGTTTTCAGAGCTGCTCCGTTCAGTTAATGGGCATGTTATTCTTCTGTCAGCACAAAAGAACTGTAAACATATATATATATATGAGGATAAGCGATCGGCTGGCAAAAGGCACTTCGGTCAGCCAATAAACTTTGCCACTTGACAAAGCCGAACACGCCCCACGACTTAAATGTCAGCTTTATTTTATTTTTTATATTTCGATTACTTTTTTGTATACCCTGTACGCACTGCGAAGAAGAGACAGAAGGCGACTACTACAACTCGTAATATACCAGAAATAAAAATTTCGGATATACACATAACAAGATTTAATATAAAACTCCTAAATATTTCATAAAGATTCGACTTCGAGTGCTCGAGTTATTAGGGAACGAATTTAAGAACTTTCTTATATTGTGTGCAGCTCGAACTAGTGTACAGGGTATTTGGTAGTCATTCAAGCCTTGAATAGACATTATGTGTTGGAATTGGCTTGAAATGCGTTGTTTGGAGCGCTGCATAATTTATTTCAGCTGTGTTTACTCAGAGTCGATTGGAGCTGAAGCTGCGCCCAATGTGCACAATCGCATTGGGCTTGCAGTTCGTTGCACTGTGCCGAGGCACATCCGGACGCATGCCGCACCCCACTTGAATATCTTTCAAGTTCATGGCATCGAAATTGAAGCCGCTGCGTTACAGTTGCCAGCAATTTGTCACTTGGTCACGTAGCTTTAGCTTTAGCTTTAGCTCTGGCTTTACATTTACCTTTCCGCCTGGACGGCACTCGAGCCAAGACAGCAGGAACACACTCCACATTCATGGACGAACCCAGCTCAGAACTAGAAAATATCAAATACCAAGCACCCGACCCCACTCTTAGTTTCAGTTTTAGTTATAGCTTTAACTAACTTAAGTTTCATGTTAATACCCTAACTCTGAGCATAAATAATATCCAAAAAAAAAACTTATTTAACTTCCTATTATATATTAAGGAGAAGTCTGAATTGCTTTCACATGTAAATATTACATGTATGCAAATTTGTGTATGAGTACTTATAAGAGAGAACGACATTTTTATGTACACAACGCTAAACGAATAAGAAACTTGGCGTGCAGCTTAGACTAACAGCAGGCGAAAGAAATATAAGGGCCTGCCCTGCATACATGCATGCATGCATACATATGTACATGCATACATACATACATACATACATACAAACATGCATACATACATACATACATACATACATACATACATACATACATACATACATACATACATACATACATACATGCATACATACATACATACATACATACATACAAACATACATACATACATACATACATACATACATACAAACATACATATATACATACATACATACATACATACATACATACATACATACATACATACATACATACATACATACATACATCAACATACATACATACATACATCTACATACATACATATCTACTTACCCGCCCACCTCATCCTGCGCCGCCGCCTCCACCACAGTTGCTCCTCCACAGGCTGTTGGAGCCAACGTTACCTGCCTTCCTGAATTTCAACAGAGCCTACTTTAATTTTTGAGAATCGAGGAGGAGAGCACTTGGTAGAAATTCGTTTTATTTCAATTTGCAGCACAGCGACAAATAAGCTTCGTTTGTGTTTAGCATTAGAAAACAAACATGCATGCATATGTACATAGGTGCATACATACATACATGCAGACACAAACACACACACACATACATGCACCCACATACATACATACACGCACACAGAAACACACTCATATATAGTTATGTGTACATATAATATTTATATGCCTTCGTAAAACATACTTGTAATATATATGTATAAATACATACATACATGCATACATATATACACACACACACACACACATATATGTGCATACATACTTATATAAATTAGATAAGATAGCCAAAATAGGTCGATTTTCTAAAATATATTTTCTTAATTAGCAGCTCAGCGATGGGTTAAGCGGGCATTACCCGGCCTTGCCCGTGTCAAATTTATAACATTGCTTTTCATTTTTTAGACACAGTTGGAATCGGACTTCTTTCGCTTGTTGTTGAACTGAATCTATTTATCGCCTGAGCTGCTGTTGTTGCTGATAAGAAATTGAGTTATTGTTGCGATTAGTGCAATTAAAGGGTGTCCAGCCGATGTTGGAGCTGTTGTTGGGGCAGGTCCGGATGCCCAGCCTCTAGTAGAGGGTATTACAAAATTGTCAAGAATTGTGTAACGCATCGCAGAGCGCGTCTCGAGCTCTATAAAATACTATATATATTCTTGAGCAGCATCAAAAGCAAATTAAAACTATTTTCAGAAGACTACGAAAAAATTATATTGCAGACTGAAAACTTGCCGGAGTCAGCCGGATCGGACCACTATAATGATTTAGCTGTCGCTCGAAAATTAAGTTCTTGTGTGAAAAAGCTTTTTTTTCCAGCTTAAGATTAACGAGGCTTAGCAATTCTACTCAAATCGCACTAAATATATAGCTATAGATCTATTGGATTATCTAAAACTTTTTTGTTTTTTGAGTAACTCTCAACAACATTGTTCTAACAGAATCTTCGTATTACTACGTTCAGATGTTCCTTTAGCAGATAATGCCTGGCATAAAAGTATTTTAAAGGGTATTAAGTCTTCGGCGTGTCAAAGTTAGCAGTTTATACTAGCTGCAATGCAGTTTTATTTTTTCTTTTTATTTTTTGCCTGGCGGTGAATCGCGATACAATTGTGAGTTGGGGTATGGGTCTGGGCCAGGCAAAAGTTTCAAGTTCGTTGCGGAGATTTTAGCGCCTAGGGAGAGCACACACACACACACACGCACACACTAGCGACAGCTGGCTGGGACATTTATGGTGTGGGCGTCGCCTTCATTGTCAAATGAAAAATCGAACTGCGGCCCTTGGCAGGCGTGTGTGGTCCATGCTCATTATCATGAACATCATCATCATGTTTGGCAAACTAAAACTAGCTGATGGCGTCTTCTTCTCCTTCTCCCTCTGCATCTGGATCGGAGTCTGAGTCGGAGTCTGGCTTTGGGTCGGTCCGTGTCCATTTCTATCACTTGGCGGGCATCAAAAGCCTTTTTGCAACTCCCATGCGTCGCATTTGAACATTTCTTGATTTGTTTATGCGGTTTGTTGGGGCTCTCTTCTCATTTTGTTTTCTTAGGTTTGCACGTGAGTCTGGCCTGTGGGCAATGCGTCGGCCAATGTAAATATAGATGGAATGCCATTAAAATGTGTTTGCTTTCATATTTACCTTGGCGCGCATAAAGCCCTGGCATGTGTTATAACCTTTAACGCTGCATAAACAGCATAAATAAGCCGTAAAGAGTACGCAAGGAGCTCCAAGCATATATTTGTGCATTTGCACCTGGCCGGGACACGAGCACCGTTTGGCTTATGGCTCGTAAAACACCTGGGCTTTTGCCCGGTTACAACATGATTTATTCATTTGGCGCTTCTTTGACGGATTTCACAACTTTCGCTCTCGAAAACGGCACTTGGTCTTCCGGCCGTGTGTGCGCCTTGTGGGCCAACAATGGGTTAAAGCCGCACAGCAACCAAAAACAAAGAGAAACAACGGAAGTCGTTACGAAAAACCAAACGAATCGAGACGAAACTAGTTGGAAACGGATTGTTAATTTGCTGCCATTTGCATTGTGCGGCAGGTGAGAAAAAGCCAAACCGCGTCAAGAATGCAGTCCGCAGAGTTTTGGCCATTTCATTCGGTTCAGTTTTGTGGTCAAGTGAAGAGACAAAAAACAATTGCCGCGGCGCCACAGTTTAGAAAGTCATGCGCGACCTAACCCCCCTGCAGCAGCACCCAAAGCACCCCCCCCCCCCTGCCGCCCTCACCATGCGCCATCCAACACGCCCCTTTTCGAGCTGCGCTGTTACCAATTTATGGGCGGCCCAGTTAACCCACATAAACATAAACTGGTGCAAGGCATTCACTCCAGAGCCGCGAATCGCCAATTGCCGATCGCCTTTCACATGCCAACACGAAACTTGGCCAAAATGCAAAGGCCCAACACTGCAGTTGACCCAAAAACG